GATGACTGTCACCAGTTTATTGATCATCAGATGACTGTCACCAGTTTATTGATCATCAGATGACTGTCACCAGTTTATTGATCATCAGATGACTGTCACCAGTTTATTGATCAGCAGTTTAAATATTTTAACGTCAGTTTACTCATCAATATTTCTGTTTCAGTTTTTGGCTCTTTGTTGGTCGTTGTAGTTCTGATTGGTTGTTCCTTTGTGACTGTACTCTAATGTGTTTTATAGCTGTGATCTGATTGGTTGGTTCATTAGTGTACTCACTGAAACTCAGAAGAACAACATTTGATTCACAATCTGAACATTTGTCAGGTTAAGAATGAGAATGAACCCAGGTCCGGACGGAGGAGAGAATTTATAAATAAAAATATTTATTAAATAAACATAAAGCAAATAAGAAAACCACTCGGAGACAAAGAGGAACACTGGGAAGACGACACATGGAGGAAACCTTACAATGAACCAGTGAGGAGGTGGAGGACATGAGCAGAACATAAACTGATGGAGGGATGAGAACTGAGCAGCAGCTGAGGGGAAGACTGAGTACACAAACACTGACAGGTGAGGAGTGGTGACACAAAGACAACACAAGGGGGTGACAACAGACAACACACAGATCCCTACAACATTTCACCACTGCTGAAAACCTGTGAGCCAACAGATCATCACCTGCAGTGGAGCTGTGTTCACAACCGTTGGGTTTCTCTGCTCCCAATTCCTGTAACAACCGTTGGGTTTCTCTGCTCCCAATTCCTGTAACAACTGTTGGGTTTCTCTGCTCCCAATTCCTGTAACAACTGTTGGGTTTCTCTGCTCCCAATACCTGTAACAACTGTTGGGTTTCTCTGCTCCCAATTCCTGTAACAACTGTTGGGTTTCTCTGCTCCCAATACCTGTAACAACCGTTGGGTTTCTCTGCTCCCAATACCTGTAACAACTGAAGCTTTTCATTCACATCGAGTTCAACAAGTCCTGAGCCTGAGTCTCAGTCAGCACTCGCCTTGTTGTTGTTGTTGTTGTTGTTGTTGTTGTTGTTTTAGTGTTGTTTTTGTTGTTGTTGTGTTAGTGTTGTTGTTATTGTTGTGTTAGTGTTAGTGTTGTTGTTGTTGTTGTGTTAGTGTTGTTGTGTTAGTGTTGTTGTGTTAGTGTTGTTGT